CAGAGGCTGGAGAGATGCGGGCACAAACCCAGGGACGCCTGGGGCCCCCAGGAGCTGGGAGAGACCATGAGGAAGGGACCCTCCCCTGGAGCCCCCTGAGGGAGCCCGGCCCTGCCCACCCTGGACCTCAGACGGGTGACTTTGCAAGTGTCACTCACTCAGCGTGAGGTCACCCTGGCACAGGGGGGCCCTCACCCTACAGGAGTGGTGTCCTTATCACAGCGGAGAAGGGACACAGAGGGACACAGGGGAGATGGCCATGTGGACACAGAGGCAGAGGCTGGAGAGATGTGGACACAGCCTGCCCCCATCCTGGACACAGCAGGGGAGGAACTGGTAGGGGAGGAAGGACGAATGGGGGGACAGAGGGGGTGTGTATGTGTGCTCACGCTCACCTGGGATGGAGAGGTGTGTGTACTTGTGTGTGTGTATAGGTGTGTGTGTGCGCGCGCACGCTCACCTGGATGGAGGGGTGTATGTGTACATGTGTGTGTGTGTCCACACTCACCCAGGAGTGAGAGGGGTGTGTGTGTTCATGCTCACATGAGATGGGGAGGTGTATCAGTGAGGTATGTGTGCGTGTGCACGTGTGTGTGCACGTGTGTGTAAATGTTTGTTCACGCTCACCTGGGATGGAGAGGTGGTGCAGGGGCACGTCCCAGAGCCGGGGGCAGAGCTGCGACATCCAGTTGGCGTTGGTGGCCCGCAGGCTCTGGAAGCCACAGGAGGTGCTGCCCATGGGGGGGGGTGCCTGGGACCTGCGGGAGCAATGGGGTGCACAGAGCTGAAAGGGAACCTCTCCACGGGGATGGTCATGACCAAGCTCTTTCCCTGGGGACAGATGGACTATGGGGAGGGGTGTGTATGTGTTTGCACCTGTGACCTGAGGGGGGAGCGAGACAGGGATTCTCAGAGACAGCCCTGCTCTTCCTGCTCCTCCTACAAAATCCAAAGTCCACCCTCAGCAAGACACACTGCCCTCAAGGGGACGCCACGCACAGCGACCCTGCAGGACAGGGCGGAGCTGCCTTGGGGGTTTCCCAGGCGGTCAGTCTTACAGGAGCAGACAG